GAATGATTTGTTAATTGAGTTTATCTTTTGCTCTCAAATTAATTTGTTTTATTGTTTGTAATGCCACATTCTTCTCTGTAGTATACTGTACTATTCTAAGGCTTTCATATGCTAAATTAGTGCTATGTCCTTTTCTCTTGTTGGTCACCCTTTATTTAAGGATAAAAGTAACTCCTGGAGATTCCGCAGATAAATTGCAAGTCAGCATTTCTGTGATTTGTTTCTGGTATATTGGTTGTTGTTACAAGGCACAAATTAACCTCAGATGTGAAGTTTTTTGTAAATAATTGGAGTATCCTTGCTTTTGTCTAATATTTTTTCCTACGTGAACATCTATAATTCCGTATGATTTTACAAATGCTGATATAATGGTTTATAATCAGTGGAGGCAAGGACACATTGATTAACTATACCTTTGCTAACTGCAGTAGCAACCAACTTTTAATGTTTTCAAAAGCTAAGAATGGAACAGATTTTCTCACAGAAATTAATCTTCTTCCATATCTTTTTTCCTTGCATTTCTTTCCTTCCTTTATCTTTATTACAGCGTGACAACCAGCACAGCAAGGTACTATGCACACTGACAGTCCCACTATTGCAGAATAGAGTTCTTACAGAAAAAGCAGTATTGGTTCATCTCTTATGCATAAATGCTTTGTCTCTGCAAGCTGTACAGCAAACTTGTTAGCTCAGGCACTTGCTACACTATCTTTAGTCTTAGACAAAAGCCATTTCAACCAACTTTTTGTATCAAGCCACTGCTCATAAAATACCTCATCAGAAAAAAAATGGTTGGTTTTAGACCACTGAGATCAAGAAACTTTTAAATAAGAATTGCTGGTCTTTAGAACAGGGGCTGAAAACCTGGTAGTCCAGGGTTAGGGTGCTAAAGTACCCGGGCCACTTTAAACTTGAGATTTAGGAGACCAAGTCACTTACTTGTCTATGTTAACTCCCCTCTAAGCCTTAAACAAATCTCTTTTCAGGAGAGATAGCCAAAGCTGGTTAGTATACATGGTGGCTTTCACCTCCTCTTGGGATTGGTCACAATAAAGCCATAGCACCTTAGACCAAGTGAACCCCCACTTTGATAAAACATAGTGCATCAAATCCAATGAGTGAGTGCAGCATACACCTGCTCATCAAAACAGTACTAAGTCTGTAACCGTCTGCACTGCAAGGGAAATATTTTACCAAAGGGTTTAAAGGTGCAATTTGCAGCATCATTTGCCATTATGAATGAGCATCAGCAACATAATCTAAATATTTCAAAATAGAACTACAAAAAAAAGAGCATAAAATGTCTCTTATTTTAAACAATCTGGGAATGTTGTAGTGTAGTCCAAGAAAGCCAGAGATTTCCCTTTTCCAGTGTCAATTGTAAGCAGCACTGCTGTGGTCTGCACTTAATTTGGTTTAAGTGCCATCAATGTTAGGCCCAAAGGATTCTGTGGATATGTATAAAATTCATAGCCTGTCTGCTGGCATTTCTTAGAATATTTAAGACATTAGAACAGATTTTTGGTGGAGGTAAAAAGCCTTTGAAATGAACTTCATAGCAGAAGGACAGCAAATACTGTTCACGCCTTACCTGAGTCAAAGTTGGTAGAGCTTCGGTTTGTTCCCAAATCAGGCAAACTAAAATCAACAGTATCCCAAAATGTTAAGCAGTGTACAGAAAATGAAGATCAAATAGAAAAATTCACTTCTCTTTTCGTTAAGCAATACTGGGAGTGTTCAGCTCTCCAGTCTCCAAGGTTTTCCAGCTGGGAGTCAGCCTTTTCCCATCCTGCATCCCGGCATCCTGTTATTGTTCCAAGTCTTAGTAATACAGTGAGAAAAGGGAGTGGAGGAAACAAGATAAACTTAGCCTTATTATTGCTATACCTACTTATTTGTTGCTGACCCTAATGAGGGAGCTGAATAAAAGGAAATGGCTCTGAGAGAAATACAAAAGTTGTATGTTATTTAGTATCATTTTATAAAGACTTTTAGGAGTTAGCAAACATCTGAAGGGTACTTTAAATAGTGGCTGATATTTGATCAGCACAGACCATGCCTGTTTTGCACAAACAGGATTTTCAAAGCAGTTTGGAGATGTCCTATCTGTAGGGATTTTTATACCTGCAAGCAAAAAAACTAGAGCCCTCCTATGAATGAGACCAGGTTCCTGTAAAGCTCCGTCAGCACTGGATGTAAAAAATGAAATTTATCAGTGTTCTTCGCAGGTAAAATTATGACCCCAGAAGCAAGACAATGAAGGAGAAAATGTTTGTAGCATCTTGATGAGTTGGTTTAAGTCTTGAGACCAGTCAGGGCAGACAGAAGGGAAAGATTCAGCGTTTGTGTTACATTCCTGAGGCTTGCTTGCTGGGCAGTGGCAGCCTGGGGGACATTTGCCAAAGCGCAGGCATCAGTGTTTCTAATACTGTCACCCGCATAGAACTGGAGTCAGGATATTGTTCAGTGAGCCCAACCTGATGAGCCAGTAGGCTTTTCTACAGCCTACTCTGAGTACCCAAACCCTTCTGCAGGACTGTGAAGCATTCTTAGTGCCACCTGCCATTTTCTGTCCTGTATCTGCATGTTAAATCTGAAAGCAAAGGTGTATCTCTGGCATTGAATAGTACAAATGGAAGAGGAATTTCTTTACTAACTAATGCAGAAAAAAATCTGGGAAGTGTGGGACTTAACTGAAAACTAACTTTTTTTGAACCAGTTATAATAAATATAGTCAAATAATCAATGTATGTTAAGTAGGAATTTAAAGAATAATGTTCCACTGCTAAATACTCTCATGCCCCTCTTTGTCATCACAGTCCAGCACAGGTGATGGCATTGATTTCCTGGCTTGCTAGAAGGATGAGGTCTGTTAGATTGTTTTACATCTTTATGATGTACAACAGGCAAAGATGAATGGCTCTTTTTAAAAAAAATGATGCATTAATTATTCAGAAAAGTTAAGCAACTAATGAGGAGACATTTTTTCAAAGCCTTATGTAAGGAGACCAAGTAGAGTTACATTTCTTCACAAGAAAATAAGCCGTTTCTGTGTCCTTGCTGAGAGAAGAGCAGGGAGGATGTTGATAGGAGTTTTCCAGGGAATGGCAGTTATCTGCTCAGGATGCAGCTCAGTGATAATCTGGTACCCACAGCAGACAACTGTCCCAGATATGATTTACTTTTGCAAATTACTTCAACTGTATTTATGACCGTTGCATAGCCTTTGATGTTCCTATCTGTGGACTTGGGAGTTAGCATGCTATTTAGCTAGTCTAAACAATGGCTGAGGGTAAGGGAGCCCTTCACGTCCGCTGCTCAGAAAAGGAAAAGAGAATCCCTCTGTGTTCCCTATATACCCCCTGAGGCAGCAGGCCTAGATTATCCAGGTCTATTTTGATGCCTGCTAAATCAGCTTTGTATTAGTTGACTTGTTTTATCTCCACTGAAAAGTTCAGGGAAAGAAGTGAGAAAGTTTCTAAAGGCATTTTCAGCTTGCTCTGCTTCAGAGCTCAATAGAATAACTGAAAACCATTTTATAAGCTTTGAGGAACATACTTTCATTTAAATTTTAGAAACCTAATTTAATATCTCAAAACCTTCCACAGGTTTTATAGATTTCCTCTCTGCTGAACTGATTTTTTAAGTCTTCTTTCTGGCTATGAGGAAATGTGCATTGAGGTTTACTGCGTGAAGAACCTATCTTTGCAGCCCTCTCCAACAGGCAGCAAAGCTCCTAGTGGTTCAGACAACCCCATACCCTCTGATTAATCCCAGACATTTGCACTGCTGTGCTTCCTAGGCAGTGAATTTCATCATGTTTTTAAAGCTGCTGACTCAAAATGCTAGCAAACAGGTTTCCTTGCAGATCTTAGACTTTCAGACTTCTTTCTCTTTATCTTTAGGGCCAAATCATAAGACTTTGGAAGAATGCCTTGGTAAATGGGTCTTTTGCAAGCAAAGGGGGTAATGTTTTAAACCAAATATTAATTCACAACAAGTTTTTCTAATGAGAAACATCCTGTGCATGATCAGACAGCATTGGCAGTTATATGTACCTTTGAGGTGCCTCCTTTTATGTGTGAAATCTTATTTAATAGTCAGACTTCTGGAAGTGAAAGGAATAGGTACAAAATGAATAGAATCCCTAGCATCTAATGACTTTTCACTACTCTGTGTGTCTCATGGATGGAGCTGGTGGCTCGAGTAAAAGGAGCGATAATTATTTACTTGGCATTTCACAGTGTTTGTCTGCCGTTCCTTTTTCCAGATGACACCAGGCCTTTTTCACTGGTCTGTTCAGCTCAGCCGTACAAGCTTTGTTCCATGTTAAATCCAGCTGGTCCTACTGGACCATTTGCTTTTTTTCCCCTGAGTTTTTCCCTTTTCCCCAGATGTTCCTTAGCTGCTATTTTTTTGACTTTGTGGCACCTGGGTTAGATGTGTCTGGTTCAGATCAGCATCTCTTTCTATGAAACTTTGTACTGTTAGCCTGTGTTATTTAAATGCTGGTGTCTGAGCAATCTTCCAGACTACTTGTGTTAGTAAAGTTTAAAATAGTTGCTCCTTTCTTGGATAAAGGGGTTAAAACTCAATTTTGCTTTGAAGGTGCTTATGCATAGTTTGAATTTGGCATTTCTGGGAATCTGAAGCAATAATTGTCATCTTACTTCTGCTGAAAGGAATAATGTGTTATAATGGGCAGAAACAGAGATGTAGCGTTTACTGTGCTACGTCTGTTAAATTTGACTGCTCTCACTATCCACAGATACCTGTGAGTTGGTTAGTATAAATATGGAAATTGATAATTGCACAGAATAAATGCGAGATTAAAGCTTGCATCTTTCTTCAGAATTATATTTTCTCTGTTGCTGAGGAGGTTGGTCAGGTGATCTGAAACTCCAATGTCATTACTTTCTGCGCAGCCAGCAAAGCAGGCTGACTCCTGCGGTAATAGTTTTTGGTTACATCTTGTTTCAGTTTTTCACTGTGGTGCTTGTTTGCTGTCCCATCTGATCAGTGGTCTGTGAAGCTCTCCTCATGGAAACCATAGCTGTAGGAACAAGTTCATTGCTTTCCTAACTGGCACAAATTCCAGCAAAGCTGATAAAACAGCCCATGCCTTTCACTGAATAAGCATGGACTTTTTTTTTTTTTTTTTTATTTGCAAGTAATTATAGTTACGATGAAGTTCCACATGATAAATAAGCCCTTCTTAATAAGCACAGTCATCAAAACTGAAGACAGCTATTGACACAGCTGCAACCAATGATGTTTTAATTTCTCAAAAGCAATCATCCTAATACTCAACTCTCACTGGAGAAGGGCTTTACACTTGGCAATGCAGCTCAGGAATGCTTTTGTAACAGTTTATAAAGGTTAGACCTAGTAGTCTGTCTTGCTAAAACAGTCGTTACAGGCACAGTGCAAGTGAAGGTCTGCCAAGATTTGAAATTCAGTCAGAGCAGTAATGTTTGTGTCAGTATTTTTATGACCAGCTAAGAATTATGGTAGGGAGAGAGCATAAGCTTTCATTCAGTTATAAAAATAAACCTGAAATGCTAATTTTCAACAGTGCAGATAACCATTGTAAAATCCCTCCCATTTTAAATGTACAAATGTGACTGTTGTCTGAAGCCTCTCTGGAAGAAACATTACTTAAAGTTTAAAAAATAACAATTACTTCTCCATGTGTTAAGCATAATCTCTGCAGAATGTTGTGTTGTTATTTCTGGGACTTTTAATCAGGGCAGTGCAGTGCTCTTAGTCATTTCCACTTGGTAACTGTTTTCCTTTTTGTCACAGATTGAGGTGTGTATCCTGGAGTGAGTCTGACTCAGCTTCCTTTTGTCAGGTTTGTTAAACAAAAGAATGTAGCTCTGAATTTTTTTTTTTAATATAAGGTGTATTTAAAAAACTGCTGAGGAATTTTAGTTAAAGCTGGTGGGACTGGATGTTTGCTGGGGTCATGTGGTAGCATTTTTCTGGTTCTCTCCTGGAAGGTTAAATCCCATGCTCCTTAACCAGGCAAATCTCTCTTCGTATATAAGACCTCTGGCTGCATGAAGACTAATGACTGCAGGATTTGTGTCTAAAATATTCAGCAGGGACTTGTTTCCTTGTTTGGAAATTACAGGAAAAAATAGGTGGTAGAAAATGCACCCATACTGTACTAAAATACTTAGTAGCACTCTGAGCAGGACCTGCAAAACGAAACTGCCTCACCATTAAACTGAAAGAAAGGAATCATGAATCTCTTTGATTTGTTCATTGAAAACACAATCCACGGGGATTTTAACAAGTGAGGCTGCAGGCTAACTCAGGCACACTAACCTTGATATGTGATTTGAGTTTGAAGAGCAAGTCTAATGCAGAGGTATGAAGCTGATTGAAAATTTTCCAGAAATGTTTTTGATAAACAGTCTTGATTTCAGTGAAACTTTTTCACCCAAAGAATGTATCTACTTTAATTGAAATGCCCCTTAAAATGGAAACCCAAACCAACACAATCTCTTCTCCCTCTTAAACAAAAATGATGAAATCATTACCTTTCATTCATTAACACTGCTGATTGTTTGTAGAAGCAGACCAGCTTTCACCTCTGACTGGTAATGTAAAGGAGAAGCTCGTGTTGTGAAGCCAGGTCTGAAATGAGAGTTGTAACATCCATCTTAATTTTTGGTAAACTTTGCAGTGCAA